CATTGAAGAGGGATCGGACATACGTAGGGGCTGGGAGTTTTCGGAGCTCAGCCACAATATCATAAATACTTATGTATACTTATGTATTCTCCCTTCCCCCGCCACAAAGATAAAAATGTGGAGGAAAGCTTTGTATGCTTGATTTTGAGAGACAGCCTGTTTGTACCTCCTGCTTCAGGGAAATAGTTCAGGAACAGTTCATCCTTGTGAAAATATTATCCCTGTAATTCAGCCAGGCAGGTCAACAAGAAGCTTGTATTATCTGGTATTTCTGTAGCAGCACTGGTTGCAAAACTTGGACTTGCTAGAGAATTACTTAAGCCCACTCACTGTTGTCTGAACATTGTTTCATTGATGAACCTGTTAGTCAAGCCAATGATATCTCCTTTCTTTATTTCCCCCACTAATCATTTCAGTAAAGGCAGCCTTTGACGTGAGGAGAGTCTTGCTACAGAGTGGAACAAAATCACATGAATATTTTTCTTACAGGCTGTGACATCAGACACTTTGTGAATTTCTTTTTCAAGTCACTTGCATAAGTTTTAAACAATCTTGTTTTAAAAATGATTCACTTTTGACTGTATTAAAAATAATCATTAGTTTATTGCCCTGCTTTCTTACCCATAGAGATTTTTCATCTTTTTGTTTATTTATTTTTAGGAAACAGAGAGGGTTTTGTTGTTGTTGCATTTTTCATTTTGCATACAACATAAACTTTGGCCTAGGGAAAGGTGTTGGCTCGCAAGGCAGAACCCACTGTGTACTGTATGAATATGAAAAGTGCCAAAGGTGTTGGAGCACAGGGCTGCTCTGGCATGGACAATAGGGTGTTAACATCTCCTGTTTCTTTCCAGAAGAAACACATCAAAGTGCTTCTTAAATCAATGAGTACCATTTACTTGATAAATTGGTGCCTCTGGTGCTTTTGATGCTGCAACTCCCCCAATTTGTATTCCTTCCTATAACCCTCATTTAGTTCCAGCCAATTACCATTGCAACACAGCTGCTTCAAGTGCTATGTGTGACATTTCTGTTCTGTTCCTCTAGCCTTACAAAACTACTTAACCAGCTTTCCAGCAATTAACTTCTGTTCTGCAGCTGTTTCCTATCTTCACATTGGTCTTTTCAATCAAAGGGGCAATCAAGGACCTATTTTATTTTATTTCATAGAAAATACAGAACAACATACAAAGTTCATGCATAACTTCAATCTAAACTTGAGCCACAAACTGTTGCTCCCCTGCCTGTCAACACTAATTTGATCTTGCATATCTGTATCAAAGACAACCATCACTATCATTTATCTCAGTGCCTCATATAGGCAGAAGTCCCTTGTGAGGTACTTTTTCATAGCCAGTTGTTAATCCCACAAAGCAATTTTCTGCCAAAACAGTTTATTTAGCTCAAGTTCCCCTTGCACATTCCTCTACTGTTGATGCATTCTGTGCCCACAGAAGTCCTGCGAAAGACCTGCTGGACAGCCTCCCACTCAAAGCAGTGGGAAAAACACAAAGCCTCCTTTCTGACCTGCTGTAATAGGTGCTGTTCTTGCCTTCAAGTCAGCAGGCAACAGGACTTGTATTTTGCAGGAGCCATACTTACTGCTGGAAGCATGCCAGAAGGTGACCCCTCATACCAGCAATTAAAATTGTCATTTCTAGAGTTGTTGCATACTTGGTATATTTACCCTCTGTGCTTTTTCAACTTCTGAGTTCCTCCTATATCTTTCTCTAGATGGCTTTGGTATATAAATATTGGCTTCCTGCCATGGTTAGCTATAATAGGCTGCAATGTTCATTGATACTGATAAGCATACAGAGTCAGTCCAGGCTGCTTTTATCAACTCCCAAAGCTCCTGCATTAAACCTTTGATCTGTCTGCATGTGTTGGCTGCCCTGGCATATCTTTTCATGGATTCTTCTCAACTGCAAAGAAAATCTTTTTTGAAGAAAAGTACATCCTTCTGCTTTCTGCACAAAGGTGCCTGAAATCTGCCCGTTGTACTTATCAGTTCTACTCCCTTGTCAGATAAGTAATACTGAAAATTACACTAGGGTTGTTGTTCTTGCTGGTGCTGCTAATTTAATAGTGTCTTACCTTTTCTATTTTATTTCTTACTAAATATCAGCTTTGTTTTCAGAGATGAGTTAAAGCTTATTTCTTCTGAGTTGTGTATATGCTACATATAAATTTGTAATGTTTTTTCTATTCACAGAAGTAATAAGATTATTTCCTAGAGACTCATATCCACATTAGAGCCTGGGTGGAGGTCTTTGCTCTCACACTTCATTTTCAAAGGAGTCTGGTCTTGCAGGGAGTAACTGAACACCTGGGGAAAAAAAAAAAAGTTATAATTAAATGCTTACCTTTCTTTGAAAGCAGTTTGATTATAGGGCCAGGAATGGGCCAGTACAGATCTTCTAAAGGTCTTTACACCTATGAAATAGGAAGATTTTCCACAAGCACAGTTCCAGTCCCGTAGCACTAAAGGAGGAGAGGGAACATCTACACTTGCATTAAACTTCTCAGGCTCCAAGACCACTATGGGATGTGCAGACTGGGAGCAAACAAGAGGAAGGGCAGTACTGGTGTGTGTGACATGTGCATCTACCCAGCTGCCACCCAGTCCTTGCCCACTGTGAAATGCCTCTATGTAGGCAGGTGTCAGATAATAAGTAAGATGTTTCCAGTCCAGTCTCTCTCAAAATTGATGGATGCTTGTCTTAGAAAGAATAAAAGAACTTTTTTTTAATCACTATCATATGGTTTAACCACACAAAAATTACAACAATTTCATTTTTAGCACTAGTTTGGGAGGTCCTTGTGTAGAAGGCTGTTTACTTTTCCTGTGCAGTGTTTGTTTCTTCTTGGCAGTGTTTGAAGGGATTCTGTCAGGCTGAAAGTCATATGTCTCCAGAAACTTTTTACATATATACACCTAACAACTTAGAATGCCTTTTTTTAACATATATACTGTGCACACAGGGACTGATCCACAGCCCATAGTGCTCTGGCTCCACAGTGTTTTGGCTCCAGACTGTACTTTTTTAAACTTCTGTATCATTTACTTTTTCCAGGCTGACTGTGGGGGTGCAAGAGCACTTTGTTCTGGAGACTCGTGGCTCCACTGCAGCAGCAGCTTTAATTCTGGCAGCTGCTCCTGCCAGGAACAGTTGGTTACCAGCTGGCGTAATGTTCTGGTCTAGCTAGCTAGCTAGCAGAATGATTGTGTGGCCTCCAGTTCCTGTAGCAATAACAGGGAAGTTTCAAAACGGAGGCAATGTTGCATTGTCCTCCCCATCATTATTTGTAACGTGCTAATGTGGAGAGGCTGCTGCCAGGCTGAGTCCCATTGGGCTGGGCAGGGTATAAAGACATCCTAAGAGATCATCCTTGTTCTAGGAGCGCCGACTGCCTAAGCACAACATGCGGACACAGCCCAAGAGAAGAGAAAGTATCGTTAGAACTTGCACCAATTGAAATGTTTTAGGGCTCTAGTTTGTGCTTAAATACATAATTAGTACTTAGGTATTTAGGAAATTGGACAGGTAGCTCATTAACTGATAGATATAGAGCCAGGATAAGTTAGGAGTTTAGTATACCTGTTTTATACAGTTCTGCTGGAAGAAAAGCTGCAAGGACATTGTTTCTCTGTAGCTATGTTTTGATATAGCTTTCACTTCTGGAAGAGAAAAAATAAAGGATAAAAATAATGCTTCAGATGAAAACTACCAATCTCTTCACTGGGTTTTAGGAAGCAATACAGGAAGTACCACTTCATATCTATGAAACACTGTAGAAGTTAATGGGGACTATGAAAGTATAGAAGGGTATAGAGATTCTGGCCTCATATTTCCTGTGGCCCCTGTAAGCAATTTCCTGTTTAGAACAGCAATTGGGATTGAACTGATGTTATGGCTAAGGCATTAGATGCAACCTGCAACAGAAAATATTAACATTAGAAAAACAGTTCTTTTCTCTTTACTGGAAAACAATATTTCTTTCTGGAAGAGAAAAGTGACATCCTCTTCTGCAGAAGCCAAGATCTCCAAAGAGTTTCTGTGGTGTGATAGCCACTGAGTTGTGACCTGCCAACAGAAACATTGTGCATTTATACCAATAACAAACAATGAGTTGCTGAAGGCAACTGCTATTACCTTCACTTGAATAAAAATCTCTGGCAACTGATATGACTTTGAATATGTAAGCCAAATAGATCCTGATATAAGAAAATGCCTTCTTTTCAGCACCTACTCAAATATCTTAATTGAGATTATGCCAAAAGTACAGGGTAGTTGATACCCTCATTAATTCTGACTGACAATTTTATGGAAAAATCTGCTTTAAGACTGCTCTCACAAGTTCATTCCTATGGAGAATATATTCCAGTTTATTTGACTTTGCTTTTAAATATCACTTTTATGCCACAGCTAAATATCTCCAAGAGCATGTATCAGACTTCAGTGGTCTTTAGTGTACTGTGGCCTGGAAAGTGACCATGGCAGCCCCTACCTTGGTGTGCAGTATGTGTTCGCTGTTGGAAAAGATTAAACACGTGTATTGTTGTTCCTAGGAGAGCAGTGCCATGCCATTTAGGGAAGACAGAGTGTATTTCATGACTAGGACATCTACATCTGTCTTCTACCTGCCAAGTACAGTGTCTTTATTGTTCAGGCTGGTGCTTGTGGCAATGATGTACATTTGGTTAGGTCTATTCAGTCTTGCAGTACATTAGCCAATCTCTTGCCCAGTAAGAGACAAACTCGTTCGCATGGTATGGCAGGACTCCCAGAGACTTGGAGTCCAAGAGCTCTTGGTAAGAACTGGAAACACTGAGATACGGTAAATTCTCTTCCGAGTTTCATCATACAGCTACCACAAGACCATGACCAGACAAGGAGGCTTCTCTCATTTTTTGCTCCTATACTCCACTTGTCATTGTAAAAAGTTAAAGTAACCTTTTTCTGTGCTTAAAGATTTCTGTCCTGATCCCCTCACAGGTGGGAGATTGGGAAGTGGAGCACCTGCAGTCTTACTTGTGGTGTTGGTCTGCAGACAAGGGATGTCGTCTGTTCTCACTTACTATCAAGAGAAACTAATGAGACCGTGATTTTGGCAGATGAATTGTGCTATAAACCCAAGCCACCCCTTGTGCAGGCATGCAATCGCTTTGACTGCCCACCATCCTGGTATCTCATGGAGTGGCAAGAGGTAAGAATGTGTATGTAATCTCATTTTCTGACTTTTAAAAGTAGACATTACCTGCATTGTCAATGCAGCAATTTAGGGTAGCCAAGGAAGAGGATTCATTAATCACATTGGTATGTATCGTTTCCAAACAAAATAGTGTAATGGTCTGCTGCCACCAGTGGTTTGGTGTGTCAATGCCAAGATTTCTAGAAATGTAAAGCTATAAAGATCAGGGAAGAGAGAATCTCTAGAATCTATTAGATACTCCTTATATTCTTAAGTGATAACTTTGGGTGAGACACACTCCTCAGTGTATCCACTCTGCGTGACTGTGTATTCTCCAAAGTCACAACCGTGTGTTAAGCACTTCACATGACGAACTGTATGCCCCGTTGTACTAACACTAAAAATTTGTGTATCTACAGTGGATTTGGAGAAGGCTTTTTGTCTTTGGAAGGCAACTTGAAAATCTTTGTTCTTCTAAATCACTAATGAAATAAGTTTATATACTGTCATCTTGTTGCAAATGAAAACTCTTTTGCTATTCAGAACACTTAGTGCTACTTGTGCTGGATTTACTACAGCACAGGGAGAAACTACCATGTTCTGTTATCAAGAGAAAAAGTAAAATTTACTGACTGGAGGACATGCCAGCAAAAGGTCTGTTTAACCATAACAATGAAGTTTGAGTGCCACTTCCACTCTTTGCCGGGTGCAAAGATCACTCTATCCTGTGAGAAAACTATGGGCGCTTGGCACAGTGCTTGCTTATGCCCGGCAGGTCTCCATCTGTAAAATTTGTTGCTTAAGAGTTAGGGAGATGTTAATGTAGTCACCTAATGAAACTGTTAAATCTGTGAAGCTGTAATTCAGGGAGAAACTCTGGGTTTGGGCAGCTGTGCTGGTAACCAACATTTATTTCAGATTGATGTTCTGTCAAAGCCACATAATTAGCCCATAGCATTAGTCCTCTGTATAAAACGGTTCAGTGATATTCAAAGTTTCAATGTTTTTTTTTTCTACTAAGGTTCACATCCATATATTTGTTCTTAATACTTCTAGTTTACACTGGTATATTTATAAATAGCAAATAATAATCTGCTAAAGCATGTTGAAATTTTCATAGCAGGTTCAACTTGATAATTGAGTTTGTGAGTCAGAGTATAGAATTAGCCTCTATCATTTGCCTATCAGGCAAAATGTAATTATTTACCCAAGTTGGTATTCATTTTTGTTATATGGTAGTATACGGTCTCTGTCATATTTCATCTTAGAAATCAGATTGGAGGGGTATTTTTTCTGCTATGAAGTCTAAGTCTGCTGAAGAACACCTAAACCTTATTTATTCTGTAATTCGGTGTGGACAGTACAGAGAGTAGGAGTAGAGACACTAGCTTTTTCCCCCATATTTTGGCACATAGTGCGTACAAAATGTTTGTTGCTATAAGCAAGTTATTCCACGATGAGATATATGCAGGGCTTTGAAGCCCTCTGGACAGAGCTCTTTCTTAACAGACCTTTTCTATGAGAAGTTGCTTAAAACATAAGGTAGACAGCTGCTGCTATAGCCTGGGAGTTCATGTTAGCTCAACCATCAGCTGGTTTGGTCCTATGAGCAACACATCAGCATCCCACTACGACTGCTCAATTCCCATCTCTGTATTAGCTGCACACTCTCCGTGCAGGATGGAGACAGAGCACCTGTGGTGGGATGCACTGCCACAGCTTAGCCCAGGCCAGACTGTAGCTCTGCTGTCCTTGCTTTTACGGGCTTTGCGGGATCATTCTGCCTCCCCTGGGTTTGCCTGTGGATGTCCTGCATGGAAAATCCACACCATCAGGCCAGTGAGTAGCACCAGGGGGTTTTTATAGCTGGTTGGCTAATGAAATGTGCTAGAGAAGGGTCACTCCAGAGTGGATGTCAGTTAGACAGACTCTTGGTGATTCTCCTCCTGAAGGCAAGCACACAGCTGCCCGGTCATGAGGTGCACAGCACAGCTGTGCATGTTTTTCTTAGGGAGCCTCCGGCAGCAGAAATCCTGTGGGGAGCCTCCAGCAGCAGAAACCCTGCAGAAGGCTGCTTGGAAGCTAAAACCACAAACCTTGCACTGAGAAACAAATGTCGTTTTAGCTGTCCCCAAATCCCTCGTGGGGTGTGAGATTCCCTCATGTGAGGTGAATGCCCCTCTCGCACTAGGACTCTCTTTGAAAGTTTCACCAGTGTTAGCATGAGCAGAAGGTGAAGTCTGGTCCCAGTGAGCCTGGATCCGATGTTTATTTTTCTGTTCTAATGCACGGAGCTAGCAATGCTTTTCAAGACACTGTCTCGCAGCAGTTTTAAACAAGCAAACAAACAAAACATTTAAACTGCAATGCCCAGTGTTTTCTTTTCTATGGCCCTTTATGTTGGTTAAAGAAGAGCTGTCTGAATTAAAGGCCTTTAAACGCCCCAGTGTTCCTGGCAGAAAAACATCCAATAATTACCAGTTTTGTAACATTCTGAAAGATTTTTAAAATACCTCTTTACAGAGTTGAGACTGTTTATTTTCAAACAGTTCTCTTTCTCGGCTAAATCCATTAGAATGTTTATCTTGTTTTCAGTAGTGTGTTTCTGGAGGAAAGTGGATATGAACTTTCATTTTTACAAGCGCCTATAGACATCTGCTCTGCAGACCTCAAATGGGAGATATCTATTAATAAATCTTCATCTTTTCTTGTTTTATTATTGAATAAATGCCATAATCTCTTTTCCCAATATTCTTTTTATATCATTCAGTGCTGTTCGTGATAGGTCCAGGAGAGTTAAGACAAAAACTCCACAATATAGTCAGCATGGGAAAACTGGAATCCTTTTCAGATATTTTCCTAGCTATTTTTCCCCAATTTTTAAAAAGTCATTTCTAAATTTGCAAGTGACAGGCCTTAGGAACAAGCTGAAAGACCTGCAGAGAGAAAAATATCTGCTCCATTTGCAAATATTTTATCTTACTGAAGAGAAAAGGTACAAGAAAAGCTGTTTTTGAGAGTAAAATCAAAACTCGTGGTGCGCCAATCCCACTGTGCTGAAGAGAGGGTAGTGCAAAATTATAACAGTTGGCCAAGCTTAGTTCAGCGGAAACCCTTTCCTCAACTGCCTCTGAAGGTAGGTGGACTGATCTAACAACATTTTTTGAAACATTCAGCTACCTCCAAGGGCCGGTACTCATAAAGTTATAGAGCCACAAATGCCTAGCCCTTTGTTTTCCATTAGTCATTTTCCACAATTCTAAGAAGCAGCCAGCTTCCTTACTGGCAAAATAATGGAAATGGCACACTGCATGTATCCTGTGCTGTGTAGACATTTGCAAAGATGTCTGGACTTGCTCTGAGTCACAAAGAAGGTCTCCTTCCCCTCTCTGCTTTCACTAGTGCCTATCAATTATTTGCATTAAATATTTTTGCAGAGTTCCATAGAGAAAAAGTAATTAAAGCAATGATTGCTCTGAGAGAAGCCAAGACCACAGTTCCACCAGAAGTTTAAGATGACATATGCTAGTGCTTCTACCAAGGAAGCCAATAAAGTGCTGTGGGCAGCTCTTTCTTGCCCTTACAGGCACCCCTGCCTTACATCTCCAGAAAGGCTGCACAGTGACACCATGTTCCTGGTTAAAGCTTGCAAAAAGTATAATTAGCTCTAACCTAGATTAACTTTTCAGTCAAGTTCATTGCACAGCTGCACAAGTGCTTATGTCAGCACATGAGAAAAAGGGCAGCCCAAAACCAGGAATGAGTGCCCAGCAGAACTGATATAGAGAGTGTTAGCCTTAGCTTACATTTGCATAACCTAGTTATGAAAGTGGGCATAAGTATGTGGAGTGATGCTGTCCTATAAATCTCTAACCTGGCAGAGTCTCAGATCACCGCTAAGGGGACCTGGCTCTGCTCAGCTGTAGGAGTGTATCAGGATACACTTCACCTGATTTGGTCGGTGGGATGAAACTGCTTATCTCCTCCCTGAGATACAAGAACACTTGGAACGGCATTGTGTGATCTTCCTGAGCAGCAGGGAGAGGTCACTGGGATGGAAGGTGGCCAAAAGAGGGTCCTCTAAGAAATGCTGCTTCACAGAATCTGTAAATCCAGGCAGACGTTGCTTTCATTAGGTACTCCTTTTCTTGGAAACAAAAGTACAGACGTGAGGGCTGGAAACTTGCACTAGAAAAAAATCAGTGATGATTCCAGGATAATAAAGACACTATGAGTAAAATATAGGTACCTATTAGAGCAGTAGCTTTTATGCTCTAATACAGTTTTGTCCTAGAAAAGTTCCTGTGGACAACGAGGAATCTTGTTACTGTGTTTGGCTCCCTCTGGCATTTGGCAATAGAGTTTGGTGTTGAGTAGTTAATTATTCTTCCTGGAAAAAAAAACGCTGTGTGCATGATTGAAGGGCAAGAGACAAGAGAAAAAAACTGTTTTGCCTCTTTCTTTTATCTGGTCATGATGGAGGGGCAGAGGGACTTACTGGGATTTGGTTGATTGCTACAGGGAGTGTTTTTGTTGTGTGCCTACAGCTTAAACCGTTCTGGCTCTGGTGTATAACTTCAGCCCTTAAGCAACCTTGAAACATTACTTTTAATCATGTTTTCCTTGACTTATTCTCTTCTCAGGAATGAATTGTCCTTCAATGAAAGGATGATAAATGTTTTCTTTTGTCGAAAACTCGAGCATTGTTTTACTTGCAATTTTTTTTTTAAATCTTTTCAGCTTTGTAGTGTTCTAACTGGGACAAAAACTATTTTGACTCATTAGAGAGCAAACCAAATTGAATATAAATATTCTTTCTTGGCAATATCCAAGTTTGTGCCTTCTGTTCTGTCTTTCAAGGAAAATATATATCCTAAAAATCAAACTAGCATTAAAGTTTATACAGCTCTTTCTAAGAGAGAAGGCCCTTTCGTGTAATCAGGATTTTATGAATAATTCCTTTTTTAACTGCTTAGACATAAGTTTTAACATTTATTCATGTGGTTTTCTGCTTCATAGGCATAGTTCCCCTGCTACAAGCTATAAGCAACTCCTGTTAATTTCAGTATAGCACAAGCTCCCCTTCCCCTTTGCCAAATGTGGAGAAATGGTGTTGAGCTGACTGGCCTGAGCAGAAGAACAGGAGCCTGTTATCAGCCACGAGAAAAAGCTCCCGGGAAACAGGACTGAGCCACTTTGCTGACAAAAATGAGTCAGGGAAAGTGCTTAAATCTGCTCGTTCAAGATTTCCTGCCTTGCATAGGTAGAAAATGGATACAGAGGATTATTTACATGAAACAGAGAGGGGAGCAGGATTCTCTGGAAATTAATCACCCAGATTTTATTTGACTCAAATAAATGTTCCTCCTTACCTTTTGGAAAGAGCACATGCTGCTATCATGACAGCCATAAATCTAAAAGGGCTGTGAGGTTACCTAATGCTTTATTACACTAACCTAGTGATCCTATTATTGTGACTAACAGCAGATCACAGCTGATATACAGATTTCACATGAGTTCAACATCAGAGAAGCATCATAATGCAAGAGGTCTTCACACCTAGAAATGCTGGGCTGGACAGTTAAGCTTTGGGCTGCACTAACAATAGGCTATCTGCAGGTCAGGAATTAGAAATCAGGATATTACAAAGGGAAAAAGGTAAAGCAATAAACTCATGAAATTTTTATTTAACACATACTCTTATTTTTGTTTTATGTTTTGCGATTTTTTTTTTTGCTGTTTTTTGTTTTGGTTTAGTTTCTTTTTTTTTCTAAAACAAACTCCTTCAGTGTAAATTTGAACATTTTCATTTTTGGTTAAAGCTCAATATTTGGTTCATAGGTACTTAATTTATCATATATATAATAAAATCATGAAAGTGAAGGCCTTAAATCATCTCCTGTTGGAGAAGACTGTTCTGCCCTCTCCAACACTTCTAGCAGTGCAGTTAGAACTTCATGCCAAAGCATACCATCAGAGATCCTCCGTGTCATGTATAAGTCCCTCTTTTTCCAGCTGCTGTTTAAGGGAAAGGGCTTTTCCGCCTCCATTTGGCAATTCCAGCCTATTTTTTTTCCATCTTTTTGTCTTTTGTACAAATATCTGAAAACAGAATGTTTCAAAAATGCAGAATTAGTTTTCTAAATATTAGCAAATTAGCTCTTTTCATTTTCCAGAACACTTTCACACTTTAAAAGGAAGTTCTGCCTTGACATGTCTGAATATTTTGATTATATTTTCTATATGGATAAAACTTCATGTTAATTTCTGTCCAAAATCATAAGTAATATTTCTTCCAAGTTTCCATGATGGATGGGTAATGTAGAGTGGCTGATTCCCCATCTCCTGCAGTGTTCACAGACGTGTGGAGGTGGTGTCCAGAAACGCGATACGTACTGCAAGCAGCATCTAGCAGATGGAAGCATTTTAGAGCTTCCAGAGACCTTCTGCTCTGCTCCAAGGCCACTTTCCCAACAAGCCTGCAAAACTGAGGATTGTCCCAATGAGTGGCTTCTCTCTGACTGGACACAGGTATGTTCCTTGTATGAATGAGGTGTCCAGTGCTGCATGTCTATCTCCTTGCCTAACTGAGCTGTTTTGTGCTGTTCTTGGAAGTGACATTCTTAGTCACTTGGGTTAAAGGATCCAAACATGTTTAGACTGCACAGATGCCCAGTTTTGTCCTGTAATCTGTTCTTATCATCCTGGTAGGGGATGTGCTCATTGTCCCCTCTCTGGAGATTGCCTCCACAGATGTGGTTTAGCCATCCAGCCAAACCATCACGACCTTCCTTCCAGGCTAAACAGAACCCATGATCAAAACAATACATCCTTGGCTCTGTTCATGCATGGCCTTTGCTTCTGTTCATCCAAGGCATCCACAAAGAGTAATATTTACTTCCCCAGGCTAAATGCTTTTTCTTTCCAAAGCCTAGCACTGTGGATGTAGTTCTGATGTCAATAGTCTTTTCCTCCTGGGACCTCTCCAGCCTTCTCCTATGATGCTGAGATGAGAAGGGAGGGATCAGTCCAGTCTGCCGTAGGCATATCACCATGGGTACGCAGCACCAGGCCTCCAAGGTAGCATAGACTCTTTCAATCTTGGGCACCACTTTTGCTACTTTGTCTAGTCACCACCTTGGTTCTGTCCTGGCTTCCTTCAGTTTAGGGATGGCAAAACAAACTTACTCTACTGAGCTTATTTGCACTTCTGCAGGCATTTCTTTCAATCCTGGGTGGCTTGAGAAAAATGTCTGTTATATTTTTGGCAGCAGGACTTAAAATAAAATGTAACCTTTTAATACATGTAAATATAGTTTCTTTAAAATTTTTAAAATTTTAAATGTACTTTTACTATAGCGTAAAACTGTAAAGTAAACATAAAGCCTATCCCCACAATTCTGTCTCTGCCACTGTTCTCCTGTTTTATCATGGGAGGAGGTAACTACTACCTTACTCATGAAGGAAACACAGGTCACCTCAGGTTTCACCTCGGTCTGTCTGTGCTGATCTATCTTAAAATTTTAGGCAAATATATAGATGTTCTCGTGAAGTCTGTTGCCAGGATGTGTCCATTCTGGCAGAGAAGATGTAATTCTGTTCCCAATCTGTCCTCCTTCACAAAAAGTGGAGTTTAACCTCTTTACTATGTGGTTTATGTTAATATTCATAAATCCCCTTTTTTTACATGCTGACTTTTTTAAAAAAATCAAATGTAACTTTATCTGTCCTTCCCCTCCATTTCATTTGAAGGCTGTCCTTTTTTTGCCCTGCTTATCCCTGTTTCATCCCCATGCTCACTCCGTCTCCTGTTCCCGTTCCTGTATTCATGCACCTGTGTGGAACACAAACACACATGCCGATATGGATATGCAATGAATGTGTTGCTCTGTACCACCAGCATTCCAGAGCTAAAGCCACTTTCCAGCACCTTCACCTAGGTTGCTGTCTGGCTTCCAGTGCCACTTATTGTGATGCTGTATACATAAATATAAAATAAACTGGACATGTTAAATTCCCCTAAACAAGGTAGAGGTGCACTGAGAACCTCAGGATTAGATGGTCTATATTGTTTTTGTGTACAACATGCCTGGTACTCACCAAACTGAGATAACTCCTTGGTGTCTGTTGCACATAATATTATTTGTAATAGAGCTTCATCAAAGCTCAAAGATTAAATTTGACCCAATCTAAATGATTTTAGCATAAAAATATTTTGTCTGTGATGTGAACGTGTGCTGCTTTTGGCTGTGAAGAGGAATTTTTCCACCCACCCATTTTTCACTACAGACACATAGAAGCGACATGCAAAGACAAGCTTTGTACTGTAGCATAGTACTGTTAAAACAAGAGACACCACCCTAGAGAACAAACTGTGAAAGAGACTGCAGAAAGAATCACATCCTCAAAAGACAGAAGAAATATTTTGTATTTCCTCTCCCTGTTGTGCCCACATTGTGATTATCTGTAAATGAAGAGTCAGGTACTGTTCTGCTTTCTTCCCCATAATGATTTTGAAGGGTTGCGAGTGGCATGAGTGGTATGGAGTGAGGAGGGAAGGGTCAGACTCACTCCTTTGTTTTAATATATCTTCTTCCTAATGGTTCTTATTCTCTCCCTAGTGTTCAGTGAGCTGTGGAGAGGGCACCCAGACTCGAAATGCCATCTGCAGAAAGATGCTGAAAACTGGTGGTTCCATCATCATCAATTCCTCCCTGTGTCCACCTTTGCCATTCTCATCCTTGATCAGGCCCTGTACCCCAGCTCCTTGCACAAGTAAGTGGGCAAGAGGCTTGAGAGTGTTCGGGTAAAGAGCTGAATTGCCATCACCATGAAATTCATGTATCATGTGCTCCACAGCCATCTCCAACACTTAGTGATGTTCGGTATGGCAGAGTATTCACCTTTACTGAGATAGAATTTCTATCTATGAACACATATGCTCTGTTTAGCAACAAGGCAACAAGTGGACATAGCTATAAATTTTACAGTTGGAAATGGGTCAGAGCCACTATGCTGGGAGGGAGCTGCTCATTTCTGGAAGTAGCTCAAAATTCTGACCCAAATGTAACATCTAAATTTCATGGCTGGAAAATAGAGGCTCAGAGATGTAGTTTAGCAGCCTAATGCAGGTATGAATTATCATTCTGCCAGAACAGCCACAAAAAAAATGGTTGATAAAGACTTTTTTCAATACAGTTTTAAAAACTATTAATTCATTATATCACACAGAACCATGTATGACTTAAGATTGCCAAGGAACCATGCAACATACATTAGACATATTTTATATGGTGCTTTATGTATTTTATATTGTCTTTTGCAAGAGCGGTAATCTCCCTGTATGCCCATCCCTGGCTTGCAGTAATCCAGGTGGGCATATGAAAATTTGAAAGTGAACTTGACATCAACTTAAAGCAGAATATGAGCTCTAAAACCTGCCAAATGTTGGGAGGACAGAAGATCTGACAGAGCCAAAACTGGAATCAAATGTCCATAGTGTATACTAGTAATGCACTTGTGCTGTTTTGTTCAGGGCTTCATACGGAAGCTCTGTGTGATAGAGGTCTGGAAAGTGGTAGGACACACTGAACTAAGGTAGCTTAGGGCTATCTATCCTTTTTTTTTAATCTTGTTTCAGACAGTTTTATTCAATGCGGTGTTACTCCCTTAGGTAGTAACATTTTCTCTTCTCCTTATTGCTGTGTGCCATAAGGACAAGGCAAGATTGTGTTGCCTTTCAGGCTTTGAATGATGAACATGTAAAAGTGCTAGGCTCCTTTTCTTTGTCATATCTATAAAGCAACAGTCTTTAGTCAAATACTTTAACAACAAAAACTGCATTTGCACTGGAGTTTTTTTCTTCCCATGAAGTTCTGTCCCTGATACTTCCATTTCTGCATGTACTTTGAGCAAGACATTCACATTCCTAAAAAGTGCCCTGTTATTCCTCTTATCCTGATTGCTGCAAGTTAATGTTCAGCAGCTGGTCACCAGTTTCTCCCATTTCCCATTAATGGGTCAAATGCTGCCAAATTGTTTGTTTTGTTTAATAGTATCACATGTTAATAATATTAATGATATTTCAGGGCACAACAGACCAGCTCATAAGCAAGGCCCCCATATTATGGCTGTAAAGAAAATTTACATCCAGACAAGGAAGCAGAAGAAGCTACACTTTGTTGTGGGTGGGTATGCTTACCTACTGCCCAAGACCTCTGTTGTTCTCCGATGCCCAACAAGGAGGTTCCGGAAATCAATGATCACTTGGGAGAAGGATGACAGAAGACTCCTCAGCTCAGCTCACATCACCATTGCACCCTATGGTTATATGAAAATTCATCGTCTGAAGCCTTCAGACACTGGGACATACACCTGTACAGCAGGGCCAGCCCGAGAGTATTTTACAATTAAACTCATTGGAAGCAACAAGAAGCTCATTGCTGGGCAACCCACTGGCATTAAGGAGGAAGAGGCTATGAGAAAGTTCAGTGTAAATGAAGCCTTGCGAACACAGGAGAAACATCTCAATGGGATTCTCTTCAACGGGAGCAAGGCTGAAAAGCGAGGACATCTTGCTGACCCCAGCAGCTGGTATGATGATATTGTCTCAAGGCTGCTACAGCACAGGGGCTGGCCAGGGGAAAATCTGGAGTCCTGGGAAGCCCAGGAGTCTACAGAGAGAAATGCATCCTCAGAAGAGGACCGGAGCCAGGAGTACAGCCTCCCATTCACTATGGTCACTGAGCAGAAACGGTTGGATGATATCATAAGGAATTTGTCTCAGCAGCCCGAGGAGCTTAAAGATGTCTACACCGAGCAGCTTGTTCTACAGCTGGCTCATGACATTTTCAAGAGCCACTTGGAGCATCAGGAATCTGTCCTTAAAGCACCAAGGCGAAGAGTTGATTTGACCTCTGTAGAGTATCCTTTCCACAAACACGTTTCCGGTTTTGCCAGCTCCCTGAGGACTTCGTCTGCAGAAGCACTTCTTCCCACCTCTGTGGACCTAGCAAATGGCTCACGCAGACCTGCTCGAAAGCCTGCTATCCTCCGAAAAATTTCAGCAGCACAACAGCTCTCTGCTTCAGAGGTTGTCACCCACCTGGGACAAACGGTGGTCCTAGCCAGTGGAACACTGAGTGTGCTGCTTCACTGCGAAGCAGTGGGGAACCCTAAGCCCACCATCAGCTGGGCAAAGAATGGAGAGGAGGTGAAATACAATGATAGGTAAAAGAAATTATTTAACTTAAAAGAAAATATTTAAAACTGTGGTTCTTCAGCTGCCATTTTTTAAAAGCCTGTCAGTGCTGCAAGCAAAATCACTGCTGTAGTTTTCTGATTTGCTGTAGTGCAGTTTCATAGCAGAAAGGAGGGCAAACAGGTGTGACGTGGCAAACAGCACACTCTGCAAAATATGGATGGTGGGCCAGTCTGGTGTATGAAAAAGAGAAATAGGTGCTCTACCCTTATTTCAATAAATAAAAATAAGAGATTTAAAGAGCTGAACTAGATAAGTCTTTAATTTAGCTAATAGAGTACTCCATGCTTGGGAGCTTCAGAGTTTTACTGTATTTTCTGGTGTGAGGATGGAGGCTTCTGCTACGAAGACAGATTTTGAAATACTTAGATTTATTATATCTAGATCATTATTTTCAAATTTCAGAGTTAATCCATTAAATGAGTAGGGCTGTTTTGTGACTCTCTCAGGTATTACTTTGGATTTGTTCCAGGGTCAGGAGGATGTTCATGAAAGGAATTACACTCAGACCTTTTCATTCATGATTGATCGCAGTAGTTAAAGATACCCAAAAACAGATCTGGTATTTAGTTTTCTGTCAAGGAGAGTGCAGTATAGTTCCCCGGGGAAGGGTTCATTCTGCATTGGAGATTTGAGTTGTGTTTCCAACTGTGCCCCAGTCAGTCTTCTCCAACATAATTAGGGTGTAGAACATGAAGAAACTGAGTCATGCCTTCATCGCCTGTCTCCACATGTAAAAAAGTGCCCTGGGATAAAACTCAGCTTGCATTACTGTCCCCAGTCCCTGTGTATGTTCTGACAGCAGCTGGAAACACAAGCTACTTTTCTGTGTTTGTGCATGATTTCAGCAAACCTGAATCTGTACGGAAGAACATAATCTGTGCTGACTAGTGTTGCTTCAAAATAAATGCTGGTCACGTTAATGGTGAAAATGAAAAATGTAGACTCCTATTTCAAGGATATCTGCATGCTGACCTCAAAGCATTAGTTTTCTGTTGTGAGATGGATTCCCAAAATCAGAAGAAATATACATGCATCTATAAGCTTTTGGTCTGGCCCTCTCAATCATCCATTAGCAGAAAATTCCCAAGTCTAATGAAAACGACATACATAATGGCTGTTATTTGCATACACACTTCAATGCAAGAGCAGACAAAAATAGACTGTTCTAAGTACTACTTAGATGCCTTAATCATGTGGATAACACATGCTTTTCTTATGTTTGATTGAAATGCCTTGGTCATGTTTTGTGAGAAAGTGGTAAGGGTGTAAGGGTTAGCAGTAATGCACATGGACGCAGTTACAGTAATTGACACAGTACAAGACAGAAGTCCAAGGATCTGCTGCCAGCTCATTCTGCTCAAGGTATTGACCTGAGTTTAGTCATCAGGTCAGCTTGGGAAATAAGAAGGCAGCAAGTTAAGTCAACTTATACTGTAGTGCCTGTAGATCATCCAGTCAAGTCTTAATTTAGCTTAAGACACAAATGATGCTCCCGTGTAATTATACACTTAATGTGTTAGCTCCTTTTTTCATTTCCACAGCTGAATCACTCCAGAACCGCTATTTTCTTCAATGTACTGAATTTCCTGATTCTCTTTCTCATTTCTGTGCCTGACAGCTAGCAAGCATGTTAGGTTTCATAAGACAAGGGAACTTTTATGAGGGTTGGGAGAGCCACTATGAGCAAGAGTGTGTCTCTTGTGGAAATCACATGCAGTCTTAATCAAGGCTTGGGCCCAGAGTATCTGTTTTTGGCCATAGTCCTGTGAAAATATCGTCTTGGCCTTTTGTCCCCCCAAAAGTAGCATGTGCATATTTTCATTGACGTTAGTTACATCCTGTTGGAATTGTTCCATTAGGTGATTTTTTTTTTCTGTCCATTTGAAATGACTGTGATTCTGCAAAAGGAAATGGAGGTTACATAAAGGACATGTAACCTCATGAGTGTAAACTCATGAGAAAATTGCAGGCTTATCCTATGCTATGTAAGCAGCCGTAGTGTAGCAATAGAAAGCTTCCTGGTTTGTTAGTAATAATACAGTCTTATGATTTCTGGAACTTTAGTTGGGATTTTTTTTAACAATGCTTATAAATCTCTTTTTTTCCATTCAGTTTGGCTGAAGTAACATTAAATAACATATTTCTGAACTACCAGTAAACTATATTTGCTCAAAATTTCTATTCAAGTGACCCATGGAAGTATAATTTATTTGCTGATTAGTAGCATTGTTCACTTACCTTTCATTTCAAAGGCTAAAGCTTCTTCCAGTATCTCTTTTCTGTATTCAATTGTTGATGCTTTCTCCAGATTGGCAAGTAAGGAAAGAAGTGAGCAGTCCTTTGAGTTTCATAAATACCCAGCAAATGTAACCTGGGAGTTAGTGGCAGTTTAGTGATCATGGTGCATCTCAAAAGTGGGCCATGGTGTTTTGCTGGGCTTTTGACAACAGCAATACTCATTTTGGCTCAAAACTTTCTTGCTCTCTGACAATCAAGTTTGTAAATGAAAGCCACCATCTTCCCATGCACAGCTGTAAACTGCAAGGCCATCTGCACATAGTGGAGCATAGTATGCTTGAGCTGTCTTTGAGCTCTGCAGTCTGTCATCTTCATACTCTGCCAACTATTGAGTGGAGAAAAGGACACGGTTTTCCAACCCACCTCTGTCTTACTGAGAACAAGAAAATTAATAGAAGCATTACCTCCTATACCAGCATTGAAAAGAGACAAGGAGGTGAGGGACGTCAGAGAGTTGTACTGAAGTCCAACTTGCGCCCTCAGTAGGCTGAGATTTGGGTTACTTGTGTTTTGTTTTGTGATGCTATATTGTAGACTACTGTTTTTAGATTGGATGATGCTTATCTATACTGTGTGTAAGCAAGTGCAGAGTTGATAACTTAGAGAGAGATAAAGGCACTCACTTTCAAGCACTGTGGCCATGGGGTTTGTTTGGAGCAGTAAGGTATATTTCTGATGCATCTGGAGGTGTATCAAATTAATGAAGAGAGACCTCCATCAACAACATTGATTAACCACAAATTATGATCATTCGTGCACCTAGTATTAAGCAAATATTTTCCTAAATAATGATAACAATAAGCTATGTTAAGTTAAAGAAGTATTCTGAATGTGAAGGTGACAGAAACATTTCTAAAAGCCTCTTTCTTTAAAAAAAAAAGGTGGGAGGAAGAGTGTGTGTTTGATATAAAACTGACAGATCGTTCTATATACTATGTTTGCACACATGCGAGCAATACATACACAATTTTAGCTGTAACACGCCAATATAATTTGGAACAAAATCTGAAGCTCTAATGAATTCCATGTAGAGATGAAACCAATCAGTGTTAAACTAACAATTGCATTTGTGAAATATTGATGTTTGCTAACACAAGTTGTGTAAGCAAAGAAATTTGCTAGTTGCTGGCACTGTTAGCAGTGACTAACTAGAAATCCGCTCCTTTTTTAATCTAAGCTTTAAGAGGGACAACAGCCTTTAATAAAAGATATGGGAAAGGGATTTTAACCACTGTTTTCTTTTGCTGTGCAAGTAGATCTGTAGTTTAAAAATGATTCGCATTTGTTTTGAAAATATGTATTTTGCTAGACACTTGCAAGACCAAGTTGACACAATACAGCTCGTTCCTCTTATTGTTAATCATTATTACTTTTTAAAAAGGTCAAAAAATAAATCTACCTCCAATTTTTCTTCTATAATAGATTTTGATGGTGGCCATAATCTGGTTTGTTTTAGACAGCTACCACCCACAGTGTTGAGCAAGATCAAGTATCTTCAGCTTTTTGGCCCATGAGACAGCAGTTTTCTTTCAAAGACAAAAAAAAAGTAACTCATCAGTTTCAGGATTTGTGAGTGGACATTTATTACATGTCTTTGATGAGCTTTCCCCTCCCCTACTTTCACCCTTGTCACTGTCAATCACAGCCTCAACTAAGAAATTTATGTAGAACAGCTGCTGAAAGTTTCTGATGAGAAAAGCAATTTAACATTAGATATTGCCAGTGGATTCAACTAGAATTTAAGAGAGACATGAAAATAATCAGGAAAAATGTGGTACAGAAAATGAGGGTATACAAATGCTGATAAGAGCCCAATTCTCGCTTTTGTAGGTATAAAACAGGAGTTATGGGGTTATACCACTGTAAAACCAGAGTGTGTGCGAACATAAAGCTGTTTATAAGAACTCTGAGATCATATTCGTCCCATTTGCCTATAGACAGTACACTGAGATCACCGTAGACTCCTTTGGCTGGAAGGGTGAAGAAATAGCTGATTCAGCCCAATGGGGAGCTGAAGATTCCTCTTTGCCTTTACTGATTATTTAGGATGTCTCTAGCAATTAAGGAACTTTAGCCTATTTCAGGCTCTGACTCTGTTGTTCACTTCACTTCTTTCTGCCCAACTTTGCCAAGTCTTATAATTTCCCCTTGCAATAATTTTTATTTTTCTTTTCTATTAGTATGCCTACTTTAGAGCTGAGGAACTGGAATACAGAGAGGCTAGATGACTTGCTCAGTATCACATACAAAATGAAAATGTTTCACAAGCTGTAGAATAATATCCTACATACTTTCTCTAATACATGTAGCAATAGAAGCAGAACTAGTAATGAAGTTAAATGTACTTTAAGTAAGTTTAAGCCTGCAGTGGTAATGTAAGGGTTTGAATTTCTTAGTAGGCTTTTAAATACAACCCACAGGCCTAGCGGAAAAAAAAAAATCCCTAAATATGGTTAGATCCTGTTATGTATATCCATTTTCACATGAGCTAAGAGACTTTTATGACTTTCTTTCCCTGCTACTCCAGGTTGCTACTCCAGCCAGATGACTCCTTGCAGATTTTAGCACCTGTGGAAGCTGATGTGGGTTTCTATGCTTGCAATGCATCCAATGCCCTGGGATCCGACTCTGTCTCCATTGCAGTGACTCTAGCAGGTAATAGTTTGCTGTCTGTAGTTGTAGGATGGTCCTTGTCACTCATGTGATTCCAGCCAGAAAGAGCCTATGAATTAGATTTTAATTCCGTAGAAAACCCAGCCATGTAAAAAATAAATAAATCGAAATAGAAGCCTGCACGGTGGAGAGATCTAGGGAAATCCTATTTACCGGAAAGATGAAAGGAAACTCTTTAGGAATACTAGAAAGTTGATTTGTAGTTTTGTGTCTGACAGTTCACTGTGCCGTCTCCAAAATGTGGAGTCACTAGGACAGCTCCAGTGTGCAGACTGTGACTGCCAGCTACTGATGCACACGTGTATGACTAAAGGGAGAAATAGATATTAATAAGCCTGAGTCTACAGATAATTTCCAAATAGAGGAGCAAAAGGAAACCTAATATGTGGCAGAGGCCAGCAGCAAAGCTCCAGTTCATGTGGGATAGGCAGACCAATAGCTCTTTCAACATAGCTAACTGAGAGGGTTATAGTTAATTATTTTTAGATGAATTTACTTTCAGACTCAAGCTAAAACCTGCTTAGGAGTTGGTGTACATTAGCATCTCTTATACAATCTGAATATCTTATAAAATTAGGCCATAAATATCAAAATAAGATGCTGAGCAGTTTTTGGAACAAAGCAACAAATGTTTTGGCATAATGGAAATACTTTCTCCAAAAGCCTGAAAGCTGAGACCATCTTTAATGGATTGGGAATGTGGCCGAGAATTTATTTCATTGAAGATTTTTTTGATTAGTTTAGCATATGCCTAGAAGAAGGACAGTGGAATATGCTTCCATTTTTTCTGAATAGTTTGCTACCCTTTAATTGGCTGAACGGCTCACAAAACTTCAATCTTATAATGAGATAGTAGGAAAATAAAAGACTGGTTGATAGTTTAAGTATTTTTCTTTCTTTATCATTTAGTCATTACCACAAAACATCAAAACTTGTGGAAATATTTCTGCAGTAATGTGCAATACTTTAGTATTCTGATGCATTAGAAGCAGAAAAAGAAGAAAAATATATTAATCTAGTAGAGATTCCAGGTAAAAAAACATCTTTTAAAAGCCTTGGAAATATAGCTGTATGTAACAATTAATAGTTTTATAGTATGTGTATGAGTGTGTGTATATATACATATATAAATACATATTGTACATAGCGTATAATGAGATTTTAAGTCCCCATGAGTTCATTGTAACCATATCCTTTTGACACCTGCATCTATTCATCCTAGGCCATTTCCAGATTGACAGACAAATGAAACCAGTGGTCCACATTAGCTTAAAACTCAAGTTTCTCGCCGCAAATGATGATATTTGAACCTGTTTTGTCATTGCCCATTTATTTAAAGGAGGAAAAAAAATGTTGCTCTTAGATTTTTGGATCTGTTTTTTTCTCAGAATTTATATCACCAAGAGAATAACACCCAAGTAGCATTAGAAGCAATACAGTCATGCGGGACTCACTCATGTTTTGCTCCTTCTGCCAGCATCCTGCCTGCAGAGCACCTTGGCTTAGGCCATGGGCCGCCTTAGTGTAACAGCACCCCTGATGCTTCATTCCCTTAGAGCTCAGCCCCATCATCTCCGAGTTGTGCAGTTTTGTGTGGGCATACCTAGTGTCCCTGATGGTGAGTAACTCCATAGCTAATTTTACACACACTGGCACAACAGTAGGGCAGTATCTTGAGCAATGCCCACTTGCTTGCTGTAATGCCAATGTTGGAAGACTAGTAGAAGCAATATGAAGCATTTGTTACTGTAAAGCATGCATCTTTGACAGGCAGTCCACCATGTTAATGCATAACACTGTCACTATAGGGTGTAGTTAAAGTAGAAGTGATCATATTACAGAGAGGAGCATGTATTATGTTCCTCATCTTACATTAGTCATTAGGAGAGGACTTTCCAGGAATGGTCAATCTTCCCTTTAATAATCCTAATGGTTCCACTTTGGGCTAAGGAAAACATGACAGATGTGTAGAAACAGCTTGCACATGCTCTACAGCTCCTACATAATTCATGTGCCTGTAGTCATCACTCAGGCTTCTTTTTCCTATGTTTGGCCTTTGGAAAATGATGGTATTTGGCCTCCAGTATCAGGCATGGATCTTACTGCAGTCCATTGGTGCTGTGCTGTATTGATTCAGCTGGTTCTCATGAGAGCACTTATGACTTTAATGCTGTTCTGCCTCTGCTGTATCCTTTCCTTTTCTCCTCAAGGTATCTTCCCCTTGGAATTCAGAAATGCTCTAATATCATAAGGAGCTGGTCACCTCATACCCCAGCACTGCCCCCATATGCAGCTACATAGCTATCACTGTCATGCTTCTGCAGCACCTGCTGTGGACTAGATGGGTGCCTGGTGTGCTGGGTTTGGGAAAATGTGGTGTTTCTCTTCCATAGGAAAGCCACTGATAAAGGCGTCAAGAGCTACTGTGATCAACACTGAATTGCCTGCTGTCACCGTTGATATTGGAAGCACAGTGAAAACCATCAAGAGAGCAAACGTTACCATTAGCTGCCAGGTTGCAGGTGAGAAATGACTTGACCTGTCTTGCGGGCACCTACAGCTGTGGCTCTCTGTTGGTTCTTTGCTGTATTGGTGTCTCTGCATGCAGCTGGATGAAACACTGTGGTCTTGGTTTTCTGTGATTCAGCCAAACTTCTTTCCCGCTATTAATTCTTAGTGGAAAAATTGTCCTGATTTCATCAGCACTAAGAAGGAAAGCATGGAAGTTTAAAGAAAATTGGTCCCGGACTGCAGGACAGTCATGTTTGTTGTAGAAACACATTACAGTGTGGACACAACAAAAGCATTGTCTTTCCTCCCTGTTCTGGATATTTGCTAAGATATAAGCATGCACTCACTCATTTCCTCAATGATAGGACTCAGAAAGTACGTCCCATTAATTCTTCGTTTTCAAAATGAAAGCCATGTTAGGATTTTCTTTGTTTTTTCCTTTTCTTTCTTCCCCCTTTTTTTTTTCCTTTTCTCTTCCTTTTTTTCCTGTCCTTCCTTTCTTTCTTCTCTTTTCTTTTTGCCTTTGTCTTTTCTTTCCTTTTTCTTTTTCTTTTGAGATGCAAAGCTTCAGAGAAATTCCACTGCAAGTGGGATTTCCCTGACACTGTTTTTCAACCAGAGACTTACTGTCCTTTGCTCTAACAACAGTAGTTTGCCGATTCTCAATAGCATCAGATAAGGTTAACCTTCTCTGTATGTAGTAGTCCTAAGGCTGGATAGAAAAGGAAATGGTAGGTAAGAGGAGATGGGGGTAAGGAGCGATGGGAAGGAGAAGAGGATGAAATGGGAAATCTCTAAAGACTCAGGACTAAAACTTAAATTCTTTATACTTTCATGTAGAGTATGAGGGGTAGAGGAAGGGAGCAGTTTAGAAAACCCGAAGAGAGACATACAGATGTTCATGAATATCTTTGGGGAGACTGATATAGAGTTTGTCTTCTCAGATTAACTCTTTATTTCAAACAGATAATTCATGTGGTTGCAGATAGTAACCCATATTGCAAACAATGTCCTTCTTTTTGTGCTGTTTCCTACTCCTATTAAATAGCTAGTGGTTGTGAGGGCTCCTTCTTCCAATGCTCTTTGGGCTCAAGTTCACCGTGTTTGGTCATCTCTTATTTAGTGAGGCATGCAGGATACATGTCATTAGGGATAAAGACAACCCACATGATGTGTAACTCAGTGTTAGGCTAGAATCCCAACAAACTAATTATATTCAGTGGGATAAATGAAAGAAAATTACAGTATCATTTTTTTCCTAATTCAACATCAATAGGAATTATAACGGATGTGACATATGGGAGAAAATGCAGGCTTAGAGTGATTCTATGAGCTGCCTTACGTATGCCTGGAATAGATGCTGTTAAAAAACTGTTAAGGAACCTGATACTAAACATAGCTTCCTTGTCATATAAGCACTTTTTTTTTTTTTTGGTTTTGATCATCCACATCAGGATTATGTTTATCAATCCTTTTAATATTTCTGATCATTCTCCTCAATATGATGCATTTTTAGGGAGAAGAGTAACATGCAGTGTGGTTCAGCAAGTATCCTGTCAATAAATTTCTAAATAGTTTCACCAGTACAGATGAACTTGAGGACTGTATAATTTGCCAGAGTTCCTGAGAGGCATTAGCAGCAAGATGGCTAATAAGGCATAGTAAATTCTGGTACAATCGTTAATGCAGTAATATCTGATTAAAAGAAAAAAATAGAAGACAAGAATGGCATGAAAATAATCATAACACATATCCAAAAATCAGGTGCAAGGTCATCCAGATGAGAAAAATCTCTTCACACAGCTTTGTAAAGCCATATTCTTTTTTCTTCTACCAGTGTTTTTATTTCAGGATGCCTCAGAACAAGTACTGCAATGAGATCTGTTTCAGATCAGATTTTTTTCTTTCTTTCTTTCCTTCATCTTATCATTCAAAACTGCGTATCTATCACTATGCTGTATAGTCTGTGTGGTAGTTTTATGCATGAACTGCATTCTGACTCATTAAAGATGAGCTTTTTTTTCACAATCAGTAGGGCAGCAGAGTGAATTTTTATAAGAGGAATAATTCATAAGTGTAAGGGTTATTTGTGACATTATCTAAAGTTACTCCTACTGTCACAAGAATGAATATGTACTTACTGCTGACAAGTTCTGATAGGTCTAGATGAGGGTTCTTAAAAATAAGAGATAACATTAATAGAGCCTTGGGACTCATTTTCTATAGCTCTTTAGCTTTTCACAAAGGCATAAGCACTATCATCATATGTGCTGTGAACTGAAATCTAAAGATGTTAGTAAGAACATGAGAGAAAGCACTGTGTATCTTACAGTTTAATTGGTGCCCGATAGGAATTACCTCAGCATAAAACTCTCCACTGATTTCCTGGTAATACCATGAAACTGTGCTATGGGTTCGTTCAACCTGGAAAAATAAGTAATTTCATGTAATTGATAGGACTTTGCCCCTTTGTTTGTGGGACCAAAGCATGTTTTGAAAACATGGTTATGTGAGTATGCACTACCCCAGAGTTCTCCAGTGCTGAGGCTAAACAAAATAACTCACACCCCAAGTCACTCCGTAGCTTTGCAGGTGCCAGGGTCTTCTAGTTGGAGGATTTTCTACAATCTGATGAAAGCGAAAAGCCTTTCTAGGACAGGCGATTGATAGGATTTTTGCCACTAGCTTCAGTTCCCAATAGGGAGCAATTTGTATCACACCAGTCCATTGGATTCAGCCCATGAAGTATGTTTCTTTGGCACAGAGTAGTTCCACACAGAGAAATGTGCTGGGTGTCAGAAGCTTTGCTCAACCTGAAGCAAGTTATTATTGAAAACAAAGTTGGATGTGAAAGGGAGAACTGTTTTTAAAAACCTGGTCCCCAGGGAACCCCCTACCTGGCATCTTTCAAGCCATAGGACTTCTAAGAGAGACTCTCAAAGAGAGATGCTTGAAAACACTACCAGCGTACCAGAATCACTATTGATTCAAAGTTTATTTGAAATAGTGACTAAAATATATCACAGTGGTCTTTCCTTATATAGCATTCTGTCTGATTTTTCACTATGTTTTCACACTTTTGCAACTCTTTCCTTTCTTCTGAGTCCCATTTATATGCTGGAGGTCTTTTTCATTTGTTTTTTGACAAATATTTGTTCATCATCTGTGCCAGATTATGACACGCAAGTTA